AACAGGCAATCGTTCGACGGGCTGAATTGCACAAAACGCATGATCGCACCGGCTAGTCTGGTGCGCTTTGCCATTTATTATTTTTAGAGCCAGTAATTCATTGTTGCTCAGTTGTGTTTGTTTCGTGATTTTTTCCGACAACAAGCATTTCATGTTTTTTTTCCAAAAAATGATTTCTTTTAGGCCTGATCTGAAGCCTGTTATTTTTGAGGGCGAGGTGAAGCTGGCTTTCCCTGATTGTGAAGTTCTGGCTAACTTGGTGTTACAACTGGACGACGTATCTTTCAGGTATAGCTGTTTCTTCTGGAATTTTTACGCTGGATAGTTAGAGCGGTGGTCGTAAGAAATTCAGCCAGCGTAACACATTGCTTTTTAAAATTGTGCTAACTGTTTTTCGAGCCACCACTCGCATTTCTTTTGCCGTTTGGGTTCAGCTGCTGCAACCTGCACAAAAAATGTGGTGATCACTTAAACTGATAGTCGTTTGCTTGATACAAGAAGCTGTGTAACCTCCCTACTTTCAAATTGTGGCTTCAGTTTTGCTAGGTGGACTCAGCCCTGACCAGAACTTGTTCACTCAGCAGCGTTGTTTCAGGTACACACCTCTCAGCCCCCACATATTTACAAAGCTCCATATTGGTTCGCATGCTGATTCGCGCATATGCATTGTATGTTTGTTTCTTGTTAACAGCTTCATTCGAAAAAATAGAAAATATTAAAATTACCGGCACGAGTGCATGGTGTATCATAATTAACTGGTCGTGTTATTATGCGTTTTGTGCCGTGTAACAGCAGCACAAAACGCATATTGTCACGTGGTTGTCTCTGTGTGTATGTGTGTGTGTGTGTGTGTGTGTGCCGCAGCAACTTGTCCGCAACTTTCAACTCGGGAACCACAAAAGCTAGGAAGCTGAAAATTTAAGGGGTGTCCGCAACTTTCAACTCGAGAACCACAAAAGCTAGGAAGCTGAAAATTTAGGGTAATGTTCCCCACCCACGTGTGACTGTCCGCAACTTTCAACTCGGGAACCACAAAAGCTAGGAAGCTGAAAATTTAGGGTAACGTTCCCCACCGCAACTTTCAACTCGGGAACCACAAAAGCTAGGAAGCTGAAAATTTAGGGGAACGTTCCCCACCTGCAACTTTCAACTCGGGAACCACAAAAGCTAGGAAGCTGAAAATTTAGGGGAACATTCCCCACCCATGTATGACCCCGCAAGTCTAAATTCAGCCTCCCCATACTCACAGGTAACACGTACGGCCCCGTAAAAGTTTGGGCGGGTAAAATTATTTTCACGGGAACCATGGAAGCTAGAAGGCTGAAGTTTTGTGGGCATGTCCCCTGCCCACACGTGACCCAGAAAATTTAAATTCAGCCTTCTCCTGCCCGCGGGAAACCCGAACGGCTCCGTGAGAATTTTCGCAGGTAAATTATTATCTTCGGAACCACTGAATATACGAAGCTGATATTTTAGTGTAATAACCCCTTTCCCACGCTCGACCTTGCCCATTCAAATTCAGCGTTCCCGCGCTTTCGGGTGTCACCTACGGCCCCATGAAAGTTTTGGCGGATAAATGATTACCTTTGGAACCACGGAATCCTGGAAGCTGAGATTTTATAGGTATGTTCCTTGCCCACGCGTAACCTTGAAAATTTAAATTCGGTCTTTCCGTGCCAGTAGGTGACATATACGGCCCTGTGAAACTTTTAGCGAGTAAATTATTATCTCGGGGACCACGAAATCCAGAAAGCTAAAATTTTGGAGTAATGCCCCCCCCCCTTACTCACGTACGACCTCGCAAATTCAAATTCAGCGTTCTTACGCTCTCGAGTTTTACCTACGGCCACATGAAAATTTTGGCGGGGAAATTATCTCGGAAACCATAAAAGCCAGAAGCTAAGTTTTGTAGTAATGTCGTCTATCCACATACAACCCTGCAATTTTAAATTCAGCTCCCCGCGCGTCCGAGTATCACTTACGGCCCCATGAAAGTTTTGGCGGGGCAGTAAAAATCATTAGCAGGCAATTTTTCGGTGAACGGAATTGTACGAAACGCATGATCGCACCAGTTACCCTGGTGCGCCACTATTTATGATGATTGTTACGGTGCTAACACGTTGTAATCATATCAGTTGACCACAGGTTGGAGAAAATGGATCAGGCAAAACCACATTATTAAAACTGCTTCTCGGCGAACTCTCTCCAACAAGTGGCTTCCGTAATGCAAATCGTCGTCTGAGGATCGGCTACTTCTCACAACATCATGTTGACCAGCTGGATATGGATATCTCCGGAATAGAAGTTCTACAAAAAAGATTCCCAGGTGGCATTTCGCTTTGATCACACATCCTTTTTGGTGCTGTAAGTTTTTCTAGAATGCTTATATTTTCACCACTGATTTCGAATACAACCCGATATGTTGGTGCGGAGGGTCTAAATATAATTTCAAACTAACTTTTAAAATGCGAAATGGGAATTATCATTTTCGTTTGAAATACAAGAATGTTGTTCGATGTTCAGTATTGAATGGGATAGATAGAGCTGAGATGTGATGATCCTTCCTGGCAACTTTCACAGCTTCGC